GCAGGAATGTTAAGAACAAGAGAATGTCAAGGACTATTCATGATTATAAAGTTGTCCTTACAAAATGATTTCACAAGAAAATAATAGAAAATTCTATCAATGTTAAATATATAAACTTGGCAAGAATAAGTAAAATGTAAATACCTTGAATGGAAGGAATGGTGTCTTGTCCTGCAAAAAGGAAAACAAACATCTCTTAGAAAGTTTCAAACTTCATATATACATATGTAAATATAAGTTAGATTTATGTGTATATATATATATATATATATATGTATATACAAACAGCATCCCTATGTTAATTCACATTCACAAAGTGACAAATTTCAGTACACTTTACCCTGGTGAAACCATAGTCCTTCTCTTAATATCATGCTTACAAAGCCCAAGTATGTCAAAACTATGCTATTAGTTTTTGAATTCTCAGGTAAAATAAAAATAATAGGAAAAAAAGGAGAGCTGTGGAATTAATTTCAAGTCTGCAAAAGACTTCGAAAAGACTTCTGGAAAAATTTTCCCAAATGCATTCCTTTATTGAGATGATGATTATTGATTGAGTACTTACTATATTCTAGATATTATGCCACATTCTAGGATAAAATATGATCGAGTTATAGAAATTCTCTACCCCCAGTGAGCTTAGTTCAATGTGAGATATAGAACAAAAAAAATAAAAGAGAGAAAGAAAGAAGGAAGGAAGGAGGAAGGAAGGAAGAAAGAGAGAAAGAGAAAGAAAGAAAGAAAGAAACAAAGAAACAAAGAAAGAAGGAAGGAAGGAGGAAGGAAGGAAGAAAGAGAAAGAGAAAGAAGGAAGAAAAGAAAGAAACAAAGAAACAAACAAACAAAAAAGGAAAAGAAAGAAAGCCATACAGTGTGATGACAGATGAGAAGAAATATGATACAGAAACAAATATGAGGACCACCTAATTCAGACTCTCAGGGCTGGTGGCTGGCTGGTGGAGGAGGTGTTAGAGAGGGCTTCGTGGGTACATTTAGTCTGTGACCTAAAGGATTATGGACAGCTACCTAAGTCCTAGAATAAGAAGAAGTTGGGATTTATCTTGCAGGCTTTAGCCATCGGCAAGAGGTGTTAAGGGGAGGTCTAATGGAGAAGCATTTCAATTTTCAATCAGTCTTGTTATGAAATGGAAGGTAGATTATCAAAAGGCAAAGCTGGGAACAGGAGAATGAGGAGACTTAAAGAAAAGCATATGAGAAGGATGATGTCCTACGTGAGAAAAATGGTACCCACAACTCAAAAAAAAAATGAGATTCATGAAACACTTAGGAAGTAGTCATCAAGGTTTTGTAAATCTTTGAACGCAAGGAGGAGGAGGAATAATTGGAAAGACACTCAAGTTGGTAACTGAACATCTTAGTGAACTGAAGTAGGGAGACTGTGGACGCTTTCACTGAGTGAAAGAAGAAAGGAAAGCAGGTGGGAGGGGAGCATCTGATACGCCTCAGACTTCTGTGTGAAAACGCTTAGCAGCGCTATCTGTGGAGGTGAGCAGCTCAGGCTACACATCTGGGCTGAGGCTGCAGATCAGCATATGGACAGATATTACAACTGTGGAGGTGACGATTCCAAGTCATATAAAAGAGGAGCATCCAGCATAGAACCCTAAAGGTTAATGTTGAAGGAGAGCCCAGCAAAGGCGACCTAACTTTCCATGCAGCGGGGAGACCAAAGTCAACAAGACTTCAGAGCAAGGGTTGTTTCAAGAAGGAAATGATTGAACTAAGACGAGTACTAACATGAATCACTGGATTGATCACTAGGGTCTGTGGGAATGCTGGGAAAACCGGCTTTATTGGCATGATGGGAACTGGATTCCATCCACATGGAGTAAGACGTGGATCCATCCGCCATCTTAGTAAGTGACAATTAAATAAAGAGATCATAAAGTTCTCCCCCAAATGACAGTCAACTCACCTTGTGAAAGGGCAGCAAGCAGCAGATGGAAGTATGGGTGGGTGAGTATTTAAGGTACTTCCTGCCTTGAGATTTTATTTTCTGAGAACAGACTGATCTGAAAAAACTCTCTCCCCTCAGAAGCACCATCAGAGGTATATGACCCAGTATTCTTCAATCACATTTCCTGGCTTATTCCTCAAAATAAAATGTATTTTTGTATTTTATATATGTATATGTAAAATATATATTATATAAATATGTGTAATTATTAAAATATATATTTAAAAATATATAAAATACTTTCTTATTTTCTTATTATAGTTCTCTATGTTTTCTTTCTTTTCTTTAAATTTATTTTATTGAAGTATAGTTGATTCTACTTTTTCTTAACCATTCATAGTTAATATTGTTTTAAATTTATATTATTTGCATTTTTGTCCCTCCTCTTTAGTCAGCTTTTATCTTTCTATCCCATAATATAAAATGACTTTTTTAAAGTTTTTTTTTTAAGTTGTTATCTTCCTGTTAATAGTCTTCCCTTTCCTCTCATTTATTCTTATTTCCTTCTAAATAAAGTTCTTAGAATTGTGTTGATTTGTAAAAAAAAAAAAAAAAAAAAGTAATAAGAGAAATAAAATATCAGCATATCAGTAACTAACATCTTGTGTTTTAAGTGAAGAAAAAATAGCCCTCGTGGTAATTGTTCATAAAGAATTGAGCATATTGCCACATTCAAAATATTCAAGTTAGTTTAAGTGTATGAACACATTTCATAGAATACACCCCTCTCCTTCATCTGAGAAATCTATAAGGTTTTAAGTATCTAAAACTATTTTGATGTGCCACTTCTCGGTATAAACACTTAAATCCTTGGAACTTCAGACAAGTTCATTTGATTCAGACAGGTCCAAGAGAGATGCATTGTTTTGCTGGCATGCTATTAGTGGCTGCTTTTGAACATGATGAAGGTATGGTCCTTTTCCCTGGAAAAGCTCATAACCCATAAGACATATAGATAGAGATAGAGATTTAATCTTCAGTGGTCTGCAAAGACATTTAAGTCATAGATGTACTTTATTATGACTAATAAAAGCCCATCCACCTGAGGTCAGCAAGAATCACACAAGATGAGGATGGTGGAGAAGAGAAGCTTTGGCTACATAGCAAAGAGTCTTGCGCATAATATGTGGTCCGTAAGTCATTACTGAATGATTCTGAGCATGAGTAAATGCAAGGGAGAAGTCAGACCTGAAAACAACAGCTTTGGGACAAAAGCCAAGAGCGAACATTAGAGACTAGGTGAGGAGACTGAATTTTGTCCTGAGTGATGGAATCAACTAATATAGAGGAAAAATCAAATAGTAGATTTGATGACAGAGAAAAGAGAAATCTTAATGGTACCCATACTAGCTCCATCACTAATTCCACAGACCACTCTAATCTATTGTTCTGATCTATTAATTTTTTGCCACTAAAATACGTAACACAAATAACATAGAGCATTTTATAATAAGGAATTATAATTTATCACATATTTATTGTGGACATGAGAAAAGAAATGATGGCACAACAAGGAAGCTATTTCTTTTGCACCTAAGAACTATGAATACTAGAATAAATATGCTAGAAATGTTTCCAACCAGTAGACCACTTATTAGGCCACATTTGTGTCAAATGCCCCAGCCATGCTCATTTAATTCCAACTGGTTTGAAAGCAATGCATTTCTTTAAAGGAAATAGACGATGTTCAGTATTTTAGTCCAAGTTTGGAAAAGGAGATCAAGGTAAGTTACCAAAATGAGGACAGTTACTAGAGATTTGTCTTTTTTAAAGAACATTTCAGAAATAATATTTTATTACTAATTGCTAATGTGTATCGAGTGTTTACTGGGTACCAGGCAGTACGCTAAGCCTTTTGCTTGTATTTTCTTTCTGAAGCATCAAAGCAACCCTCAGGAGCTCAGATAAGACGGATGCCTTGACCAAGCTCTCAGGGCTGGTCCAGGCTAGCCAGGGCTTGACCCTGAGCCCGTCTGACTCTGCAGGCCATCTCTCCACCCTCCGGCATCCTGCTTTCTCCATCAACTTGGCCCTCTAACCTTTCTCTCCATTTGACCTTTCAGCCAGGAAATTCTTTTAGCCAGTGTTTTAGGTTCCATGGAGATCAGTGTTTATGAAAAGCTCAGAAGCTGAGTAAAAAAGCATCTTAATCAGGATCGGACCTCAGAGTAAATGACTCATAGTGTTACGAAGGCTAAAATAAACTTGACCCTAAATATAGACATTCAGACTAAATTATAGTTTGCTAAGTGAATGGTCTCTGTATGGTACAGACCAATATCAGAAAATTCAGTGGTGCGTCAATTTAACTTACTACAGGATATTATTTTGACAGGAAAGGCAACCAAACAACAGTAACATCAAAAGAATTACAGCTAACACATCTCTTGTTTAGCTGTGAAGAGGCTTCGGGAGCTTGGGAATAGAATAATAACATATCAGTATATCTATATATCTATAAATTATCTATCTGTACGTATATCTACATATTTCTGGTCTAATCATGGTCTCATATCCAGCATTTCCCCAAATCCTTTAACCTTCAATGCAACAAAATTCAGCATCCATGGAACACAACATAATATCTAAACATTGATCACACTTCCTTTCTTCTCTGTTCCTGTTTACTTCCCATAAAAGCCTCTCAAATTGAATATGCATTTTCTTTTCTATCCATTTATCTCAGAAGCTGATTCTAAATTTGTCCGCTGAGTGATTTTTAGTGTATTAAAACACAGATGCTTATGTTTAATTCCATTTTCTTTATAGAGTATTACACACACACACACACAGAGCCTTCTATCTTTTTGAAAGAAAATTCCAAGCCCTCGGCAACACAGTTTATACTCAGTGTAAGACTAAAACCGCTTGTTCTCATGGTCACAAAATCCCTGTAAGCAGATTTGCAGTCCCTGTAACACTTTTAGTCAACATGATAAATCATGTGAAAATTATTTAGGCACTCAAAAAATAGGATAGAAGCACTTGAAAATAAAATTTTACAAATGTAAGCCATTCCCAAATTTAAGCCAACATTTTTAAGAAAATATTCAGGCACTACAGCAATGTAACTGGAAATGACACTTTCATTTCAATAAGCTATATCCACTAGACTACATACATTTTTAAAAAATACTTCAATTAGTTTTTTGTGTGTTTTTTTGCGGTACGCGGGCCTCTCACTGTTGTGGTC